CAAGGATCATCAGGATGATTACCAAGCGATGATTTTTAACACGCTTATATTATATGGTATCGAATTGATTTGAAACTTATCATCGCTCATCATCACTTATCAAGATTTGATGACATTGGCATGCTTCAATAGCTCTGTTCCATTATTCTGATCAGGATCTTCAGGAAGAGCGATTTTTTTCTTGAACAAAATGATGAATTATGTGCCGCCACCCAAATTTGAAGATGATCCTTCACCAAAACTTCGAATGTTCGTTTTTTGACCGATTCAATTTTCGTATGGAATCATGGATCATATCAATGATATTCAATATGTAACACATATTGCTCCACGAATGCAGAAGACAAGGTATTGCCTGAAAATGGAAAATAAAAATTCAATTCATATTGTACAGACCTTTCAGGAACATTCCGTACATAGATAATGTTCAAAAAAACTTTCTCATAAATGATTTTCGAGTTGTTGTGACAATTACCGTAGATTCTACAGGGAATATAGACATTCGCCTGAGTATGTATATAAACATGTCGATTATCTCTCACCAAATGGTGGATAACTCAGGAATAACGATTCAACAGTGATTGGCAGATAAGAATCTCATATCCGATTGAGTCCCAATCACGACAATTTGTAGGTAGAAGTTGACAATGTTTACCATTTTTTCTATCGAATTGATCGGTGGACATAATGATTAGTGAGTGCAGTAAATACTTTGTCACCTATGTTCAATCGACAGCAAGGCATTCAGTAAACAAGAGGACGTTGTTATTTTAGTGGATTTTCATGTAAACAATTCTGATTAGAAGGAGGATTTTCATTTGATCGGTGGATTCATCAATAGACTGAACCTAGTGTGTCTGGACATACTCAAAATATGCAGTTAACAATTACATTGATTTTCGAAGTGATTTTGTTGATTATATAGAACTCTTTGATTCGTCTGTGCGCCAGAGGCTTTGATCCTTCTGGATCCTAGTGAATCTATATTATTATTTTAGTTACAGTATATATGGAACAATGGGATGATCATTGCAGTACATTGTTACCAGTGGCGGCTCCTCAGGGGAGGCGACGGAGGCTGAGCCTCCTCAGAGATTTTCCTTAAACTAATATTATCAATACTTTCTTATTAAAAGGACACCAAAATACATGGATTTTGATTTCATTTCCTGTTTTAGTGCTTGCCCACGCATCACACGTTGAAGTCTGCAAATCACGCGTATAATATTCAACCTGACAACATCTATAGGAGGCTAGACTCCTTCATAACGCGCAACTTACGCGCGCAATGCAAATTCCCGAATACGCCCGAATAGCACGTGATTGTCGTGTCACTTCGCAAATTGAGGACAAACGCGAGTGCATTGTTCATGTTTGTTAGGTTAATGGTTAAGGGCTCTATGAAATTCTGAAAAATGAGTGTTTTAAACGATTGCGATTTAGTGGAATACTTTTTGGTGAACCCATTCAGTGTTGTGTCTTATAAAGATGAATTGATTGTGAAAAACAAACGTCCGACACCGGAATTAAAAAATCTGATTGTAACAGGTAACAAACAAAATCGTTGGTTCAATTCTGATAATTATAAAAAATATATCTGGTTGACGGGATCTAAGGTAAGGAATAAGCTATTTTGTTGGTACTGCTCATTATTTTCAACCGATAAGTCATGTTGGGTGCGATTAGGATATAATGATTTGAAAAATTTGCGTCGCGGATTGGATAGACACTGCAAATCACAGGAACACATCCCTTCTCAAATATTAAGTTCAGGGTAACTGGTAAACATAATGTCATTAAAGCTATTGATTTGGGTGAGTAGATAGTTGTTTTTCACAATAAATCTCATATCATTCAGCCTCCTCTGTCATGAAAGTCACGAGTCGCCACTGATTGTTACAATAAACTGCGACGTTGGACCAATTCTGATGTTCATCAGTTCATCATGATGATGTACTTTTTAATTATATCTATGCTGAAGTTTGGTTCACTGAATGGAATATTTTAATAAAATTCCTCATTCTGTTATTTTTACAATTGAAATCGGATGAGACGTCAATTCTCTCACATGCTGAGCAGAATATTAGCAGGAAATATCTTTGGAAGTAAAATCATTAACGCGTCCAACTGACTAGGATGATTCAACTTCAATTGCATCTGGAGTTTGATGCAAATTTGCTTATCCTAGAGTTTTGTTGGACGGGCAAAATGATATCAATATGATGATACCAACATACTTTCAAAGATATGAAATGATGCTATTGTGAGAAAATGTATCTTCACTAGCTATAAAAACAGGCTGCTGCTCTTGGCAAGAACTTTGTTGTTTTAAGATAGACGCTATACTGTAGCAGCAAATATCTCTTCTGTATCAGTAATTCACTTTCCAATAACATAATAATAGATTGAAGCCTCTTTATTGGGATAGTACAGTTACTTTCCTACGACAGCAAAGTAACTTTGTTTCAACTGTGAGTAAATTCTTTATAAAATAGCTCAGCCACCACAGGAAGACGTTGGCTGTAAAGTGCCGTCTTCTGCAGTAGTGAAGATTTTTCCATTCCCCTATGTAGCCAAGATTCTTGACTGTGACAGAAAAATCAGCCATAGCGATAAATCAATTTTCCCAGTGGAGAGTTATAGTTGACAGTGGAAACATGAATTCAAATCCATAATTTCCTCTCAATCAATAATCGATATATAATTATACAAAGCAGTCCCTATGATTTCACAAAAATACGTACCATCGATGTTTCATTCAAGAAATAATATAATATACAAAAGATTGACATCATTTTATCGAACCTCATAGAGCCATATTGGGAGAGAATACTGGACGTACATTATTCGGATGAAAAACTAATAGAATATCGATCGCCAATGGAATTGGCTTTCAAAACCTTTAAAAACCATTTTCGATCATTTTCGTTGGAAAATGAAAAAGGCTTTCCAGTACATATGAGTAGCTTTGTGAAAATTGAAATATGATATTCCTCGCAAATATTCAGAGTTTTGATAAAAGTTCAATTACTCAGTTCGGATTAGCGTAGCCTTCATTTCAGAAAATTACTGTAACTGTGTAACTGCATTCGGAAGTTTTGATGAGAAGTACGTTCGGAATATGAAGAAGTATACATATAATATCATTTGAATTCGAAAAGGATATTATTGTTATTTGTTTTATAATAAGGATAAAGACACTGATCACTTGGATTGCACTGATTTTATAGGTATATCAAAGCCAAAGGATGCATGTTGGAGCCAATGTATGCTACTTCCCACGGGAGTAAATATTTGTTTCTTCCCGTGGGAGTAAATTGATAACTTTATTTCCTGAAATGAGGGAGCAAACGCCTACTCTCGATTCAGAGAGTAGATACTAGTATATTACACACCGAGGTGGAAAGAGATTAATTCCTGTCGTGAGATTAGTTAGTTAACCGGGACGCAAAGCGTCGAGGTCAGGTATGATCTCGAGACAGCAGGAATGAAACTTCCTACCGGGGTTTGTTTACTAGTTTACCTACGGCTACTATAGGAAGAAGGCAAGAATACACGAGATACAGCCTCAGAAAGTAGCTCTTTACGCATAGTGAGCACATTGAACAGTTTTCGTGTATTTCGCCAGTATAGGTATGTCATGATCGCGAAATCGCCGTCAATAGCGGATGACAAAACTATCGAGAATTATAATTCACACTATTTGTCCAAACTGTTTTGTTGTACTATATGGCAATAAATAAAGTATAGTACTGATGCGTGTTGTGAAGCAATTACGCATGAAAGTAATATAATTTTTCCATTCGTGCGTAATATGCTTCTTACAACACATATTATGTTATATACTATTATTTACAACCATCATGTTCCGATCAAAATTAGTGAATCTCTGTTTCGTTCTGAAAATACATAGAATATCACATAAGTGAAGTGGGGGCGGGAAGTAGTAAGGGCGGGAAGTAGAGGTGTGTAATGTGACACTTCCCATCCTTCAATGACGTTAGTAATGTAGTAATGATAACATTACATACAGGGTGTTTTATAATTGAATGCTGATCCTAAAGGGCGATAATCCTTGGATGATTTCAAGAAAAATTCTTCATGTGAACATAGGTCAGTAACAGCTTCGTTTCTGAGATACAGGATGTTGAAATGTAACAAAAAAATCAGTTATTCCCCAATATTTCTGAAACTGCTCTGGCTTCTTTCTTCAATTTTGGTACATGCCAAGTATGAATAGAAATACATTTTTTCCATAATAAAGGATTCCTTAATTTCCATCGGTGGCGTCCCTGTTAACATACGTTGTCATATTTTTCATCAAAATAATGATACGCCACTGTCTTTTTTTCAAATTAATATAATTTTTGTAACAATCCTCTATCTTCTCATAAAAATGGTCTATTGTCTTTTTTTCGTCCGGCGAACGGTTTTTGAGTTAGAAAATAAAATGCATTCATTTGCTTGTCCCTATTCGTTTTTTCTCTTAGTCATAATTTCACAATTGTGGTAACCAGAAGATCTAAGCAATACTTTCATAATTTTATGGTGACTATTTTTAAGTTTTTGTAATGAAGAAAAAAGCCAGAACGGTTTCAGAGATATTGGGGAATAACTGATTTTTTTGTTAAATTTCAACATCCTGTATCTCAGAAACGAAGCTGTTACGGACCTATGTTCACATGAAGAATTTTTCTTAAAATCATCCAAGGATTATCGCCCTTTAGGATCAGCATTCAATTATGAAACACCCTGTGTATGGTTGTGAATAAACATGTCTAACTCTCAATGTAAACCATGAGTTAGGAATGTTTTCCCGTAGTTTTCATGTCATAGTAACGTCAGATGATGAAAACGGCTACCGCGAATTAGTAAATTAGTAAGGTAAATTTTTTTGCCGGTCGTTTCTTTTTCGCCGGAGTGTGTATTCAATAAAAACTTTCCAGTTCCGAGGTTTCGATACATCGTTTTGGAGCCAGTGGTTGACGTGTTATATTTACCCATTTTTGGGACAGGCACCCCGAGGAGATCCTTGGGGCTGTGCGCCTTGCTTACGGCGTTCATGCCGCGGTTCGGGTCCCCAGGACCGCCGGCGGTCGCGTTGCCGGTTTGGCCGGGCAGGCGCGGGCCTCGGGTGGGCTCCACCGGCAGGACTCGACGCCGTTTTTTCGGAAGTTTCGCTCTGGCCTGCGAAAAGAGGAGTCTTTGGTTATACACCGAAAGAAAAATCTCAGTAATAATTATCAAATATTTGTTAACGTCAAATTTGTTCATAATTAATTAGCCATATTCATAATCGAAACGGCTCAATCATCAAAATCGTACCTGCTTTATTCATTAACAATAAATGATGTATTAAACTGTCATATTTGTTCATTGTACACAACATTATTCAATAATTAACAATTCATCTATTACGCCGATTCTTGAAGCGATAATCAATAAGATGAATTTATAATTATAATGTGATTTGGTGATAATTAACAATGATACAGTGTCTGTTGATAAATCTATATGTGTTTATTTATTATGATTCATTTGTTTATTATAAATATACGTAATATGAAGTATAACAATGGATATTTCATTTTATTCTACGTTTGGTAATTATAATAATTCATTTGGTAATAATCAAAAAACTGTCATGCGCATGGGCCATCATTTAAGTTTTGCTTCCATCTTATATAGCGTGTGCATCTTCTGAAATTGTTCGTGATATCCCTGTGATTTCGACCAACGCGAAAGTTATGAAGTGTGATGGTTATATTAGTTCAATCCCTTATATGACAGTGCGGGTTTGTTTACATCTGGACATGTATATTCACGTCTACAATAAGCTTCTTGGAATAATTTCATATAGGTACGACATCACATATGAAAAAAATGGCCGACGACTATCAGTGCATCTCGAGGTGCATCTATTTCACAACATTTAGTGAGTTTAAAAAAAAAACAGTGGTGCATGTGATGCTAATCAATCAATATTGGTCATTTTGAACGTATGTATACGTGTATGCATGAGTATTTTTTAATATTATTTGCTCTGCATGAATTTGAAAGAAAGTAATACATGTACCTACATGGAAACGTGGGTATGCCATCATAGCTGAGAGCTGATAAGTTTGGTTATATACTTATATAAATAATATTCGTTAACTGTAACTAAATTTGTTATTGATATAAGGCTTAGAAACACCCCTCGGAGTGATCCACGAGTGGTGGTAATACATCACGAAATTTATTGAATCAATAAGCAATTTCCTGAAATGGGGACATTGAATCATAACAGCGAACATAATATTTATTTATTATCAATAAAAGATTCCTTTTCACGCTGTACTTCTACTTATGTATGAATATTTGGTTACTAAAAACAAAGATTTTCAAATAATAAATATCGTTTGGTGTGGGTGGAGAAATATATATTCTCAGTTAACAAATGAATAATTTCATGAAATAATCATAATTTAACCATGCACGAGGCTTATTCATAGGTGTTTGAACAAATAATCTGTTTTTTTTTTCAAACAAACGTTTGATAAGCCATATTTCAATAACGGATTTGGTTACAGTTAATCGTATCTATTTATTATAACCAAACTGTTCTTTCAGTGTATGAAGAAAAGAAAAAGGAATCATTGTACTGTTATCGACGATGTTCAAATCACCACGTAATTGAGAAGAACGCCTAAGGAATGCCTCATCACAAGCGGCCTCGACGATTCATCGGTATTCGTAATCATCTTGTGATCGAAGATTGAAGCAGGTTTAGTCATAAGCATCGTAGCATCAGAACGAATCACTTGTCGATGTTGTATTTTTATAAACGGTCATTTTTGTACAAGTCGTCCTGAGTGAATAAAAATGTGTTTGAGTGTTGAAATCGTGTCTATCTACGATGCCTCCATTTAGAATCTTATAGTACAATTTACCACAATAAAAGGGTTATATACCGGGTGTCAACAAATCTATTATACAAGGTGTTTGATAATATATGCGCAGGACTGCAGCATCTGATAGCTCGTCCAAATATATGGAAAAATGTTTCTATCAACTTTCCTTCTTGAATGCACCATTATCAAGATACTGGGTGTTGGAATTTAAAAAAAAAAGTTTTCTGCGAATATCTCTGGAACGGTTCATCGCACAGAGAACAGCTTTCGTGAACATCTTTTACTCATGATAAGCTATGTTTCGTGCTGATTTTTTGACCGGAAGTGACTCTAATTTTTTTATTTCAAATAGCACTCTGTATATTTTTCGCAATTTTTGATATCTACTCAAAATTACCGTTTCAACGATGTATCACACTTCGTATTTCAAATTTGATTTGATGGAGGAAACGAAAATTGATATTTCAAATTGAACGAATTGCAGTAGGCTACGATATTTTTGTAATCTTGATTTTGACTTCAATAATAATTTCAAATTATCAGAATTGTAGTAGATCATGTAATTTTCATCTCTCGAAATGGCTGAGATAATCTATTGGAACAGGTATACTGGGACACCCGGTATATTCCAGAGTGGTGATACTACTTATTGTTTCATTCTGAAGCTGAACAGAATTCAAAGTTATTTCATGCACAAAGAAAAAATTAACAGTTTTGTCAGGTAGGTGATCTCTACTATTGAAAATTAGGGAGAATCACTATAAGCAAACTTCTATATTTTGGGTCAAATATCTTGAGAAGTGTAGCTAAGTCGGAGGTTTCTCGATGAAATTGCCCAGGGAATTCGAAATATTGAAAATGCGGGCGAAGTTACAACAACTCTCTTTGATGCATCACTGGATAATATGATTGAAGTAACTGTATATATCGTCAACAGTTGAGGATTTTGAAAAATAATTCATTCACCAAAGTCGAGAAGAATTCTGCCGACTTTGAAATTGAAGACAAAATCAAGATTAAAAAATATCGTAGCCTACTGCAATTCGTACAAATTGAAATTTCAATTTCCGTTTTCTCCATCAAATCAAATTTGAAATACGAAGTGTGATACATCGTTGGGACGGTAATTTTGAGTAGAAATAAAAATTGCAAGAAATATACAGGGTGCTATTTGAAATAAAAAAGTTAGAGTCACTTCTGGTCAAACCGGGAGTTTTACTTCTTGAAATAGCTGAGATAATTCATTGAAACAGGTATACTGGGACACCCGGTATATTTCCAAAATAATGTACAAGACCTTCGGAATTCTCAATTTGAATACAGAAGCTTGTATAATGCTAGAAACTAGTGGATTGAATAACTTATTATAATAATTCAGTATCGAAGCTCCAGCATGACTGTATTGAGGTAGGATAATTTTGTATCTATTATTGTGGTCAGGGCCTAAGGTATTCCATGTTAATGCGAGTGATAAATAATGATATTCACTATAGGTGCGTTATAAGACCACAACATTCGATTATTCACCTACATAGCCCAAGTCATCGTAATCACAATGAATATTGACATAATTCCTGATTCAATCATCTATTTCCAGAGTAGTTTTTCCCGCATATTAGGAACTTTTCACCATTTACCGATATTCAATCATAAACTACAGACTTGGTAATCCATCTCTCAGAGAATCAATTTCCAATATAACAGAGAAATGGCTGAATGAACATTGAGTCTCTTTCAGAAAGCTCATATTTCTTTTCAATAGGGGTCGTAATCGATATGGCAAATAAAGGAGCGAAGCGAAAAGCCACATCGCGTTGAGAACTGCCAATATACCAACAAAACAATAGCATTGATATATTTGAGAAGAGTCATTGTCAAAACTCAGCACCGTAAGCATGGCTCCTTCCACAGAAGATGATTATTATAATTTTTCAAATACTGCCTGTAGGTTGATCAAGGAGTTTATATCGATATCTGTACCTATTCAACTAAAAGTCATCAATGACACTTTTATTGGAAAATCTTTGGAGAAAAGGCATTCAGATCGAGAAAATAATATGATATGTTTACTAGCTTCGGGCGTTTCGAGAACGAAGCTGCTCTCGTTTTCGACATAAAAATTTAACATAATCCTCGAATATGATCAATTATGTTTTCCCCTTCAATTTTTTTTTTATATATTCCTCTCCTTCAAACATTTTTTAATGCAAAGTGTCACTGACCATGTATTGTTTTCCTCTTTCAGGGCTCTGGCAATGAAATTTTCGATACATTGACATTTTGGAGCAAATCATCTGATTTGTCTTGATTACAATTATTATTATATTGAAATAATACTCATAATATTCACGAATCGTCTCCTGCAATAGTTCAATTTTTTATGTATTCGGAAATGTCTTGAAACAAATGTGTACAGAGCAATCATTATTTTTCATTAGTATTAGAAAATTTATATCATGTCTACTAAAAGTATGAACGTTTCCTGGACGTTGAACATCCATTATTTGCACGAAGATGAATGTAAATAGATGTCACCAATCAAACTACTGGTGGTTCATTCGAAGTCCAAACTTTTGGATCTGATTCTGGAATCTGGATACAGAATGGACATCGCATTCACTGTAGGAACGAATTAGATGTACATTTGAATGTTTCAAACTGATCATCCATCGATAGCCTATATTCATAAGGATTGAAAATCAATCAAAGTAGAAACGAAATTATGTTATATAGTATGAAATACATTGAATATTCAGCTTATAGAATGATTAGGTGTCATTCATCGCTATATTGAATGAAACTCCTTATCGGTTGAAATTTGTTCGTAATGACGGCTTGGATGATATCAGAAGAATCAATGCACTTTCAATGGGAAGGTTAAACTGAATAGGATCTACAATATTGGTTCCTACACTGAACCTCGAAGAAAAATAAAATGCTGATCCAGAATATACTGTGAGACATGATTTTGACCAACGATTATCCTTCAATACGCAGTCGATAATGAATGTATGAATAGACCAACCTGGACCAACCTCTGCAATGGACCCCCGTTGGCTGTTTCATGTTCGATCCTGTTCGCTTATCTTATTTCCAAATATGAATATGTCTGAATATGAATATTCATCGTTCAATGGACGTTCAAAATGTGATCGTGCAGCTACGTCCATTGGACACATTGAAAATTCAAAATGAACTCACATTGTATGAACATTGATCTTACATGTGTTGTGTGCCCCGTATACAACAACAATCAGATATAAAACTTCATACGTCAGTACCTACCTTGATTGATGATTATCAGAACCCATCTCTTGGGTTACTCGTGTTACTAAGGTGATGAAATGAAAACATCAAACACATGATGAAAATAGACTTGTCAATTGTTTTTTTCCAAAACGTGTAGACCGCGAAACACCGTAGCAAGGCCGCACCGGATTGATTGTAGATGGCGTAGGGAACATCGTGCCACATAAACTTCACAGATATAATGAAAATTTCACGTCTTTTTCATTAAATCAATTACTTTTTCTCAATGTTTTTGAATTACGAATTAATATACGTAAATGTAAACAACGAAACAAAACAACCATTGTGTAGAAAGATCGCTTCGGGAACAGCGCCATCTAGCGTTAGTTTTGCGCGGCCTTACTACGGTGATAGAATTCGACATAATCAAGTAGGCCAGAGGTCTACAAAAATTTCTAGGGTTTTGTAAGAGGGAGCTATTTCACCATACCTATATCCACCTTTATCAAACATCTAACCTAAAATCATCAGCTGGTCAGCTGCGTAGGCGAAGGCGTTCGGAGATACCCTTCAGATTTTTAGTCATGGTCAAGAATGACATGAACATCGTTTTAGTCTACTGAGCAGATGCCACGAGTCGACTGTTCCCCAGATTCGTTATTGGTACAAAATTTCACCGAAAATGCGTGTTCCTTTGGTCGGGCAGGGTCAGAGTGATCCACAATAGACCCATCTGGGGTAGCATTGGTAACCCAGCCTAACCCAACCTTGGTCGGGCCGTAGACTAACTATGTGGCTTGGCTGAACGGTAATCAAGGGAATAGAGTCCGACCACGTTAACTTTGGGACAGCATGTGAAGCAACGCATATGTATATTCAATGCATATACGCGACCACGTGCTGTCCCAAAGTTATCGTGGTCGGACTCTACCATGACTAACAAAACTAGGCTCTATGCCAATCATGAAATCAGTCTTTAAGATCCTAATTAACCTCCTGAACGTATCAGAATTTTTACCTTTCATAGAGTATGTCATGAAGTTTCTTTTTTCATTACCATTTCCTAACACAAAAATGCAGAATCAGAGAGAACAAGGCAGCAACAGATGATTAATCTTTCCTGCCCTGCGCAACTCACTGACACGGGCTGGATTGAAGAAATCTGCATAGGAGTCCGCTACCCTGTCGGAAAAAACCCTCGGTGAGGCCTGCATTGGCTACCTGGGAGAGTAATTTTGTGGCGTCACTATAAGTGTCACTCAACTCCTCCATATTGTGACTGACCTCGACAAATCTTGCCAGGGGTATGCTGATGACATAGTTATAATTGCAAGAGACAAGTTCAAAGGGATTGAACAACACAAAAAGATGGTGTCGGACAGTGGGACTGAACATCAACCCCACAAAGATCACACTAGTAGCCTTGACGAGGAAATCAGCTATGGAGCAGTGGCGTGGGGAAGTACAGCTAATCTCACCACCACGAGGATCAATCTCTCTGAGGTCCAAAGATAAACTTATGTATCCATAACGGGTGCAATGGAAACGTGCCCAGCGGCCGCTAGAGAAGTATAATCATCAATCTTACGCCCCTCCATATTCTAGCGAAGAATACGGCCGGAGTATATCTATCGAAGATACCTTCAGAGACCAACATAACTGGATAATACCAAAATCTTTGATAGAATATATGTCAAAAAAAATCATCGTACGCATGAAATTACGTGCAATAGATATTCATAATTCATATGATATTAGTTTTCTTCTCAACTCGAGCATCAGGTACAAATCCGATGAGCGATAAATGGTAATACGTGGTCTTGAGAATCAATAATTAAAAATTACCTCATGTGATTATCAGGATATCAGGATATTCCGTTGCCAAAATTAACTGAAAACTACTGCCCTAGATGACATGATTTTCATTTACCTGCGTATGGCTGTAGTACATAGCGAAGTTCGAAACGATGACAGGCACTGGCAACGCTATCGTTAAGACGCCAGCCAATGCGCACAGCGCTCCCACGAACATACCAATGTAGGTCTTGGGCACCATGTCGCCGTACCCCACGGTGGTCATAGTGACTAGCGCCCACCACAGACCCAGCGGGATGCTCTTGAAGTCGTTGTCGGGGTTGGTCTGGATGCGCTCCGCGTAGTACACCTGTAATAGGACGTCATTGTATAGTCACTGATTATCAAACCTGTATAGTTCCGTCCTGTTATGGGAAATTCTATTTTTGGTAAACGTCCAAGAACTGCTCTCCGGATGCTTTTTCTCTGGGAAAGATGCATTTTTCCTGAATATAAAAATTTAGGTAGGTATGGTTCTGATGAATGCAGTTAACAGCTTCACGACATATATGAAGCTGTCACCATCTCATAAAAAATTGTAATAAAATTGTTCTATCTATTATTCTGTTGCCCCCTTACGAGCAACCCTCAGAAGTCTTCGAGATACTCGTGCGAGCAAGGCATGACGAGAGCGTCAACTTTTGACGTGTGATTTCAAACACTTTCTTAGGCCATCAGAAAAATTCTGCATTCGTGGGATTCGAACCACCTACTGGCAATCTTGCCATATGAGAACCAATCAGAATGGTGTGGCCAGATAGAATGCTGCCTTTTCCTTTCAAGTCGCTAAGACGACACGGCAACCACTGATCTGAATGAGACAAAATCTTATCACCTGATATGATACGAATATAACAGTTCCATATAGGTCTTGGAATTGTCTAGATAATTACAACTCGTGCTCACAATACTATCGAAAATTCTGTCAGAAATCGAAATCTTGATGCAATTTTCTCGGGGTAACACCACTTGTCCTGCGGACTCGTATCGTTATCAAGCAATTATATCTTGTTGATTTCTGACAGAATCACTGTTGATAGTTTTGCTTGCACTCGTATGACTACTGATCATTGTCAAAGCAGCGAAGTAGCAGCTATTGGATATGAAATCAGCTAGCGTTCTGTTCTCTGAGAGTTTGCATGTATGTTCGTCTCGATTATCACAATGAACCATCATGGAAAGCAGCAGCGATAGTGAAGTAGCTGCTGCTACTGCAAAAATATTCTCTTTTTTTAGTGTGTCAGTCATTAAGTTAAGGGTAAGTGAATATCTTCTCAACATTATTTGAAAAGAAAATAAATTTACTAGCCGAACCGTACTCCTGGAGAAACTCGGTGTAACTATATATCAATTCTTAAGCCAGTGCCGAAAGGAGAATTTTGTAGAATATGTAATAAGTCAGTTTTAAAATTTCCTCATTTTACAATTTCAGTAACAGCAGGTGGAAACTTCTTGGATTCTGAGGTTTGAAAGTATCGTTTTCATTTCTTTATAGGCCCTGTCTAGAACCACGCTAACGTGGACCTTGTTCTCAGAATTTCTCTAAGCGAAATGCGTCAGTGAAGTAGAGTATGACATAGATCAATATCTTGGGTGGATATTTCTCTCCTGATGAATTCACTCTAATTTGCTTTATGATTTGTTCTCGCTAATTTCGCGTGAAGCATTTCCCTATGACCAATCCACGATAATTTCCCATTGGATGCCCAGTACCAGGACGAAGACTAGCAGCGTGAGCTCCTTGGCCGACGCCCTGAACGTCTGGATGAGGATCTTCCATCACTCCATGATGTTTGGAGTCCAATATCAGATTTGTAGGGACGAGATCAGAAACTATTGTCTCATATTTTCTTGAACCATCACCGATAAAATTGATTGTCAAGCATATACAGGGTGTTTCGAAATTCGACCGACAACGTTTGACAGGTGATAGCCCTCGTGATTTCATAATCATTGAGATAGGAACATTCGGTCTTCAAGTGTTCAGTTCTCGAGATACAGGGCGTTGAAGTTGAGAAATGAAAATAGTTGTTTCGCAATATCTCAAGAATAATTGAATATAATGCATTCAACTTCGGTATATGGTTTCATCTTTGAATGGGCCATTTTTTGACCTGGAAGCCATTCCGGACATTTTGTCCAGTGGTGCCCTACAGGGGGTTGTGGCATTTTTTCCTTCCATATTTTCTACGCCACTGATTGAATTTCGATTATTTCCAATTCCTCGAATTCATTGTTCAATTTTGTTCAGAAAATGCATCACCTTCAACTGAGCTGAAATAAACAGTTTTCGAGATATTCGACCCAAAATAGAAGATTGCATAGTAATATTTCATCATTTTCAGTAGTAGAAAATTGCAAAAATATTTTTCTGGTGTTGAGTAGATTAGATACTATTCAGATCTCATGCTATAGCTGAACAGAAATAGTTATTCCACGCATAAAGAGAGAACGAACATTTTTGTAATTTTCTAATACTGAGGAAGATGAAAAATTACTATGCAAACTTCTATTTTGGGTCAAATATCTCGATAACTGTTCATTTTAGCTTAGTTGAAGGTGATGCACTTTTTCAACATAATTGAACAATCAATTCGAGAAATTAGAAATAATTGAAATTTCATCAGTGGCGTAGAAAATATGTGCGGAAAAGTTATCACAACCCTCTGTAGCGCACCTCTGGATAAAATTCTCGGAATGTCTTTCTGGTCAAAAAATTAACCATTGGAAGATCAAACCATATACCGAATTTGAATGCATTTAATTCAATTTTTCATGAGATATCGAGAAAAAACTATTTTAATTTCTCAACTTCAACGCCCTATATCTCGAGAACTGAACACTTCAAGACCGTCTGTCCCTATCTCAGTGATTATGAAATCACGAGGGCTATCACCTGTCAAGCGTTGTCGGTCGAATTTCGAAACACCCTGTATAACTAGACCTAGTTAATCTATTTCTGTAGATTCACCTCTTATAGAAAGAGGTTATGACATTTTGCGAGTGTGTTCTGCTCATCCGTTTATCCTGCAGTATTTTTGAGACATCCAATGTTTGCTTGCTTCAGGATAGAATGCCGTTGAGGTTGATGCTTTGAAGTTATGACCTCCGAGGATATATGAGTATTCAGATTCATCTTGAACTCCCATTATCTACCTGACAGTCATCAGTCGGTTTTCTGAATGATGATCCAATTTTCAGTAGTTGATACTAAGAAATTGTTCTTGAACTGTTAATATCCGTCATCCAATTGCCCCCTTACGAGCAACCCTCAGAAGTCGTCGAGGGACTGGTGCGAGCAAGGAATGATGTTGCGAGTGTGTTCTGCTCATTCGTTCTTCCAGCAGTATATTTGAGACATTCAATGTTTGCTTGCACCAGAAGTAAATGTTGAAATTGATGCTTTGATGTTGTTACTTTTGAGAACATGTGAGTATCAAGATTCATCTGAAACTTCCATAATCCATCTAACAGTCATCAGTCGTTTTTGTGAATGTCGATTCAATTTTCAGTAGTTGATATTAGTGTGTATCAACTATGAAAATTCCTAATTGATCTTTTCATGAGAATTGCTATTCTGGGTTTTGGAAGTATTGTTTTCATTTCATTGTAATATGAAGAAAATCTGTTTTTGGTACACACCAGACTGGCGAAGATGACGATGCCCAGCACCAGGAAGAAGACCAGCAGCGTGAGCTCCTGGCCGACGCCTGGAAAGTTTGAATGAAAATTTTGAGGCCCGAGGGTTGCCTAATGAGTTTGAACAGCTGCATGATGCGGATGATAGAGGAGTACCTCATGATGTTTGAAGCACAACATCAGATTTGTGTTTTCATGAACCTCTACTGATAATATTCATTGTTAAGTATATATAACAAGACCTAGTGAATCCTCTCGTAGGAAGTGATTATGGAATCTCGCGAGTGTGTTCTGCTGATCCATTCATCCAACAGTATATTGAAGACATTCAATGTTTGCTTGCACCAGAAGAAAATGCTGCTGAAATTGATGCTTTGATGTTATGACTTTCGAGAGGATGTTAGTATTCAGATCAATTTTGAAATGTTATTTTCCAGTCGGTTTTCTGAATGTTGATTCAATTCCCATAGTGGATATTAGTGTATCAACTATGGAAATTCCTGATTTGTTTTTCTTATGAGAATTGCTATTGCTGGAAACATCTGAGTTTTTGGGTTTTGGCAGTATCGTTTTCATTTCATTATAATATAAAGCGAATCTGTTTTTGGTACACACCAGACTGGCGAAGATGACGATGCCCAGCACCAGGAAGAAGACCAGCAGCGTGAGCTCCTTGGCCGACGCCCTGAACGTCTGGATGAGGATCTTGAGGCCCGACGAGTGCCTGGTAAGCTTGAAGAGCCGCATGATGCGAATGATGGAGAAGAACTCCATGATGTCGGCGTTGTCAACGTGCGAGGCGAACTTGCGCAGCATCAGGTCGATGTAGAAGCTGGCGGTGGCGATGTAGTCGATGATGTTGACGGAGGAGTTGATGAATTCGCACTTGTTGGGACTGGCGATGAATCTTTAGAGAGAACGACAAATCAGCCAGGCAATGTCATAAACTACACTCAACGGCGAAAGAAGAAACAGACATTATCAATTTTGGAAAATGAATTGCCCAGTAAATTTTTGTATTCTCATATCCAATATTTGAGGATTTCGACCAAATTGTTTATTCGATTAGTGAATCATTCAATGCTGTATTCACTTCAATATAAATTTAATAAATAACATCGATAAACACAAAATAAAGAGTTGCAACGAACAATTTTGAGAGCCGTAAGATTAATAAATTCGAATACATAATTGTCGGTTAACACTATGTAGTAAGTGGTGAATTTCAATTGTTCGTGAATGAAGTAATTTGAACTGATATTCTATTGTAATTTCAAGAATATAAAGTGATTTCAATACTTATTCATTTTAATTTGCTATTAGTTTCAAAAGAGTCAATCTGTGAGGAGTCTATATATTATAGAGTTATTTGAAGTATCAGGGTGAGTTTGACTGAGTATTGTAACTCCAAAAACATTCACTGGAAGCGAATTTCACTGTGTGGCCTCAGCTGTAAAGCAGAGCTTTGACAAAATGCTCGCTATTACTTAGCAAGTAGCAAGTTTCACTGAGCACTTTCGAAAGGCATGATACAGTGACATTCTGAAATTACATTTTGACATGGTTTTCGTTTTCTTTTGTAGATTTATCACGTCAAATCCGATCCGAAATGTCATTATGCATGTTATGTTATTGCAGCATATTATGTTGAACTTGATCGATGCAATGCGCCTATGATTCATTATTGAAGTGTAGAGGAGGTGTAATGTATATACGACTCGCATCACATGCTATTCCACTTCGGAATAAGAAGTTCATTCATACAATTTTGAAAATAGTTCGACACATCAGAAACAACGATCAACAGTTTGTCTTGAGTGGGAGTGCTACCGACCACGTTTTCATGTTCTGACAAGTAGTAAGTATGAAAATGTTTAGTGCTTAGTGAGGTTCACGAGCTCTAAGTACTTCAACGATCACTTAGTATAATGGACCATGGTCGATAATTTTCGGAACCGCAAAAATGTATAGTATATCCGAAATTATTTGAAAATTATTTTGTACAATTTTGAGCTATTTGGTAAAATTAACACTTATAACTTAAATAAGTTAGGATTCCATGTGACATTGACGATCAAAAAAATTTCAAATTCATTAGGAATGCAAAAAACATGCAAAATTACTTGCTTTGCATATCGAAAGGAGATTAAATTTGAGAGATGTTACTGCTGGTTTTTAGTTTGTTCACATTTTCTGAGAACATATACTACACTAATTTACATATCCTTCTACACCATCAGAAAGTAGAGATTATGATAAACAAAAAGCCAATCAAGTTCTTTGAGATAGCTCATATTTTGACACAAGAATTTTCAGGGTGCTTTTTTGATATAAAGTGGAAAATGAGGCGGAGAAATAAATATTTCCAATGAAAAAAAAATACAGTGTATTGATGACATGAATATGTAAGTTTCCACGAAACTTTATTTCGAGGCGTCTAGTGTGTTTTCAGTAATAAGGTAGTTTTCGTCATTTCTTGAACCAGTAGTCAATGAAGACATAACCATCTCTGTTGTAATTAACCTGAACTCTCATGCGAGATTCGCAGTAATGGCACTCGAATCAATCATATGTTCTTGTGCTATCTGGTGGTTACTTCACATATTTATTTGAGTTAATTGTTTTGATTGCAGAAAAAATAGCATGTTTCTTTCGGATCGAAAGTGACTTTCTTTGACAAGCAAATTTTGCAACTGAAACAATAAACTCAAATAAATATGTGAAGTTACCACCAATGCCGTGCCATATGGATGCAATGCAACAAATATTGACAAATAATCCGTGTGGTGATTCTACCTGCATTCAGTGCAGGTTCATTCAATTCTCAAGGATGTTCGAATTGTAGTTTCGATATTAATACAATCACAGACTGACATATTTGTGTGTGGACCAGGTGCTCTGATGGCAAATACCGCGCCAGTGCCAGCTATATAGGAACAAGACGTGGAAAATGTTAGGTTAGTGAGCATATCAACAATAATAATAGCGATTATTCATTCCTCTCCATAATACAATGTTTTTGACTTGATCATCAAATGATGGTGAACAATATCGTTGTTTGAGACAAAAAAATTAAAACACTGCTTGCCTTGATTATTCAAAAACAAGTTATCCATCCCGAGAATAACGAATGAAATACAGATCAAGCAAGTATTTGCATGAATCTTGAAGGCTTCCCTGATCAAAACAAAAATACCTAACTGAGATGTTGATAATATCAATACTCAACTATAATAAGGTGTATTTATATCTTCAGCATGGGTATGAAATGCCAAATCTGCCGAAATCGGAAACAAATCAGGTATGCGTCTCAACCCAAATAACCAACCATAACAATGTTGTTTATTCTTGATGACGTCCAGTACATCATTTGTAGTTTCTAGGAGCTAAAGTTCAACTTTAACTCCTAGGAACTAAAGTTCAACTTCAGCTCCTAGGAACTAAAGTTCAACTTTAGCTCCTAGGAACTAAAGTTCAACTTTAGCTCCTAGGAACTAAATATGTTGCCTAGCAACATATCCATTTTTGTGTCAGCAATAGAAACGTCAATTCAAGAGCTAACTTTGGTATCAAAATGGACGACTTTAGTGTCGGTTGCAGAAAAATTACTATTTTTCACTTTTAACCGTTTTCAAAGGCTTCCGCACTGGTCTATAATGCTTTGGGCTGTAGTTACCTACCTTATCAGTATCTCGAAGGTGAACCACGCGTTGCAGATGCACTCGATGTAGAAGAAGGCGACGTGCGCGTCGGTGTCGATCTTGTCGAAGAAGTAGTCGGTGCCGTTGGCGGACGTCCGGACGCCCGTCAGCTTCAGAGACGGCACCTTCATGTCGGGGTGCGTCTTCAGGCAGAAGGACAGGATCGACACGCAGATGAAGAACACCGACAGCACGCCTATCACCTGAGAGATATTTATCATTTATTAGATATCTGGGATATGTTATATACATAGATAATTGTGGAATATATGGAAGCAAAAGCTCTCCAATACAATGGAATCAAATAGTCTAAGAGCCAGCGCCACAAAGATTCTCTGAATTTACTAAGCCTAGTTTTCCACAGTACCTATATTACAATGGTTTTGTACACAAACATACTGCGGTCAGTCAAGCGAAACTGAGAACAGGTGTCCCTGGTATACTATCGAAGTTGTCGTTCCTACTAAGGTGTTACGTAGTATACTGGGCATTAATTTACAACCCTCATTTGGGCTAGGTAAAGGTGGTAATATTCTTTTCGATCAGATCCACAAGAATTTTTGATTTAACGTGCAACGGTTGTGCCCTATGATTGCTGGAAAATGAATAAACATATAGTGACAACCAATACACGGCTGACTAGCGGGCTTTCGTGGGTTCTCTGTATAGTTGGAAAAAAAAATCTATATACAATAATTGTTGGATTTCTGTCCCTTTACGAAGGATTAATTAACAATAGATATTGTAAACCTTCACAGTAAGAGATGGACTTTACAAAGATACAGGGAATATTCAGATAATACTGTGTGTCCACCAAAGTATTAGTTTATGAACTATGATATAAATTACCTAACACGTAACCATATGGGTTGGTTGATTTAGAGCAAGGGTGATCACTCTTGGGTTACCTAAGTTGTATACATAATTTCCCCTTGAATCAATGTTCGCCTGGTCGTGAATTACAGTCTGATAATACAGCCCTCAGGCTACCTATTTGAAAGCACTAAGATAATAATTGGAAACACGCAAAATAATAATTATTATAACCGAGATTATCGCTCATCAAACAACAAAATTAATAATAAATGAGAAAACCCAATTCCCAGATACACTTAGCTGTACAAGTCCGAAGCTGCCCATAGGGTGAATTTGGCCACTTAGTAAAACCCTTATTTTTCACTCTCTCACAAGGGGTTTTTCTATCCAAAAGATACCGGCCAGGTAGAAGAGAATATCCTCAACTGATGTGAGGTACTGACGCAGTCCAGATTCCTCTAGGACGCTTGAGAAGGGGTACTTGAACCCGGTACTTGAAAGCCCTACGGATGGGAAATGTGTGATAATTGGAATGTGACAACTGATTATCACGGACATAAAAAAAGACCAAACAAAAGTAAGAACAATGAAAAAGGAAATACTCACGATGGTGTAAGGTGGCTTTGAAAGTGTACTAGAGGCTTTGATCCAGCGTGCCTTCAGCCTTAAACCGAATCAATCGTAGGAGGAACAAAACGATATTTCCAGGAACTACTCCCTTCACAGCAACGTACGATAATATCGTCCTCCAGTGGCTATATTTTAGAAAATGTGAACCCACAATAATTAAGTGGAATATGTCGAAAACAATTTTCCCTCTCAAAAAAAAATGGCTACCATAGATCTACACACCTCAGTCTCTTTACCAGAAGCCCCTAACCGATCGTCCCCCGAAATTATTCCCACCAAAACGAAGCATTTCGCGCCAAATTGGAAAACATAGTCGTCTCAGTCCTGAATGAAATAATGGGTGATTTTCTGAGTACATTTGAAGTAATTATCCTCACGAAGAGGTTAAGAGACTAGAGTTTGAACTCCTTCAAGCTCTTCCAGAAGAATGTAGAGTGTTAAATGAGAAAAATTCGTCAATTATACTTATAATTAGAGGAAAATCCATAGATACGCCCCTGACTCAGGCACCTAATTCCCAAGGTGAGAATGCCGAGATCGATGACAATCGATTGTCAAAACTGTCCACAATCCGTCACTCATGTGACATTGATTTATTGATGTAATGCAATAAATTTACTAAGTTTCTTGGATGTATGATAAATTGACATTCATCATACAGGACGTGGAAAGAACTTCTGAATTGAGGAGAGTATTTGCATTCGGATTCACTAGGAATAGCTCTGGTTTTGAATTTTCATATGGTACACCCTATCTATCGTAAATTCTTTCGCATATCCGGGACAATTGTGGATCAGAATGTAACATTTTCGAATGTGTTCACCCCTATACGAAATGAGGAATGAATTGAAATCTAACTATTGGTATAGCGATAAAAAATATATCAAATCTATCAATACCATCACTCAATATATGAACCACCAAGTAAGTTGTTCTAAATTTAATAACATGCTATAATATTGCATTATAATAACCTACGTGTACATACTGAATCTCGCATCAGCAACCTATTTCATCAATATTGGAACATTCAATATTTTTGTTGTAAAAATGTGAATTTCAACGCCTTATATCCCAATAACGTATCGTTTCAAATATGAATAGAAAAATCTTATCAAAACGAACTACCATGTATGTCGATCAGAATTGACTGATTCTGGAATAGTCATCACTCAATAAGTACCTATGAAGAGTCATGAACTTACCTTCGCTGCCGTTGATGAATATGGTTCATCAAAAAGTGACCAAATTTTTGGCTTTATCAACTGCCACCATGATAAGGTTCCTTTGAAATAGTCCTCTTCGAAACCAAACTTCCTAGCTATCTCTTCGTCACTTGGTTTTTCAGTATCTAAATCTAACCTATCTAAAACAGCTAAAGTCTCTTGAGTATCTCTATGCTGAAAAGAAAAACCAGTATTATCATTTATGGAAATCGTTTATTGAAATAGAAAGTTGATAAAAGTTCAGCTCATTAACGCTGTTGCAATTGTTTTTTCATTTTTATCCGAATACATTTTCAGCATTCTAGAAATGAGGAGAAAATACTCATCAACACTTCTGGAGAGGATGCGTTTCAGTTCAAGGTTTGGAACACTAACCGATATGCTGCCCTTGTTGAAGTATTTATCGACTAATAATATTATATTTGCTTTATTTATTTCAAATTTCGTATTTATGTTCCCGTAGTTTCCTGTATCCTTTTCCGATTCCTCGTTCTTTGTAGAGTGGCAAGTCTCCTCGGTTGATTCCTCTTGGAGTAATGTTCTTTCCATTCACACTCAGAGGTGATCGAAGTTCCGGAGTCGCGGAAAACCGTATACCTATGCGGCACTATGCGAGAGTATATTTCGCGACCGCGAGAATCCTACCGACATCGCCAATTTTAACTTCCACCTCAAGAACTGCGCTTTTGAAAAGCTAAAAAATCCACTCGATACGGTAATATACAATTGTTGTTTTCGAAAATTTTAAAATTTATGAATATGAAACTGAATTGAGCTGGGTCGTAGAAATCTCGTGAGGAGATGGTCTTCTCGGAATATGTTTCTCTTGTCATCCCGGCATGTTTTTGATGACTTGCAGCATGTAACTTGGGTATGGTTGTGCATTGCATTTGAATATTATCTTATAGAAGTCATCAATTTCTCCCATAAAAAAATTGGCAAATCGTCTGACTCATAATATAGGTATGCCAGAAATTCGTAGGTGCATATACTACCTAAGTCCTGACTTTATTTGCCATTCTCGATCATTAATTCATTATTTACAACAATTTCAGTTGGAAATAAAGAGGATCATATTGGAATATCATCAACTGTGGGTTATTCGTTCGAACGTATTTTTAGAAATACTCCCAAAGGTATGCTATTGATTTTGATCTTGATGTATTATATAATATATTGGTCGCGAATGGATTCAACATTTCAGAAATATCAGAACAATTGCTTATACTTTGTTCAAAACATTCTGATACTGTTTAAATAAACTCTCATGGAACAATTAATATTAATTGAAACGTCTTTGGTTTGTTTCGAGAGGTTTACTTAGCTCCGCCCACTCTCGACTTCACGCTTAGGTACTCCATTGGAGAATCGTATGTTTTTTCTTTTTCATCGTCGTACAGCTTGTGTCATTTCATATCAGCTACCTATTAGTCGTGCGATCCTTACCAAATTTGGAAAGGTATGAAGAACCATCAATATGATGACGAACTTCCTTTGGAGCAGTGCCGTACTTTCTTATTGAAATAGTTAAAAGGAGTAGATTTAGATAAAATTATATTGAGAATTTTTCAAGAGGAAAACTGACCTCATCGTTAATTAATATCAGATTCTTTCATAGGTTTGAAAAAATATGCACATCATTAGAGCATATTCGCCAACGTTAAAATTATTAACTTTTTTTTTGTTCTGGGTCCCACGAGAAGGGATATCCTGTAATGTTCAGAGAACATCGTGAGATCCAAGGGAAACAAGGTAGGAATTGATGTTCTTCTTGAATTTCTGGAGGTTAAATGGCTCGAGAATCACCTCCCGTAGCAATGTGTTCCAGAGCATTACTGTTTATTGGATAAACGAGTCTTTGAAAAGGGATGTTCTGCAGGTCTCCAAAATGACCACGAAGGGGTGCGAAGCCTCAACTCGACGGATTAATCTCGCGGGGACTGCCAAGAGAGGAACAATTGTTGATATTTCAGGGGAGCATCGTCCATGAAAATATCTATAAAATAGAGCCAGATCACAAATTTTTTCCACAGTGTTCCAGAGAAGTGAGTGAGTTTGTGAGCGAGGCATCACCCACGAGACGAATTGCCCTTTTTTGGACAGAACCCAACAGAGTCAGGGAATGTTTGGGTGCTGCACGTCAAATATGGGAACAGTTTTACAGAACAGATCGGATCTGTGCCTTATAGATCATAAGCAGCTGACTGGAAGTGAAATAGTTCCTGGCTGGACACAGAACACCAAGTTTTTGGGATGCACTTTTAGCAATTGATCTCACGTGATTTTCCGAAGGAAGGTTTATAGCTGATAGTAATACCAAGCATCGAAATGGATGTCTTCAAAGGTATGGTTACTCCTGAGAAACTGTGAGTCCAACATAAAATACTATATCTTGTTTTGTCTTTCAAATCATGACTTCCCACCTTCCGGAGCCATTGAACGTTCCAAAGTTTGCAGTCAATTTGAATCCACTATTTGTTCGATGCTGAGAATGAGAAAAATTAAGCCAATTATATTAATTCGGAATGGGGTAATGTTCCACAAATATAGGTTCGGAAGCATGGAAAAGAATAATATGGAGCTAGTTTTCTTGCAAAATAATTTCTAATATGATTTCATTAAAATCAACCCCTTCTTATTACAGTAAAAAAGCACGGCACTGTTCAAAATCATCTTTGTTTCTGAGAAACTGATTATATTGTTGGTTATTTACACCGGTCCGGTACGAACCGTTTAAAGCGAGACACGCCGTATATCTGTTATCGAGAGTCCACCGCCACAAACATCATTCCAAGAAAGGCGTAGTAGTTCAGTTGGGATAAGTTCGATTTGTAACTGGAGAACCAGGGTTCGAATCCCGTGGCGGTCGTATTTGCTTCATTTCAATGTATCGGCAGACATATTTACTGGCCCTGATACAGTATAATAAGAGTCTCTTTTCGGTACTGGCTCATCAATATTTACAGGAATATGAGGTTGACCAAAATTTATTGTATCGTTTCTGCAAAATGTCTAACTTTTTCAGGTAACAGGCATATCTGATGCGGGATCATTATAGTGAATTATTTTGGAGGTATCAACTGAATCTGATATATTTAGATTTTGACAAATGTGTCTAAAATTATTGTTTGTATCCATATGCAATGATTGTCGTTGAAGAGTTGATATAGAAAATACTCATATATACTATAGTTTCCTCATGGAAGAATGAACCTGGATTTTCCATGAATCACAAATTCAGTGAAGAGAACAATAATTTTATTCCTGTTATCAAGATACATGGGGAGTTCAATTATTCAATTTCTCCGACTACAAGAATTCATATAAAACTTTCCTATCGCATCTGAAAGAAACAAATAATATCAGTCCTGAGGTAAGGGAAAACAAGGAATATCACTTCCACATTCTGCGTCTTTCAGATAAGTTGCAGTTTACATAAGATATGCTTCAATCTATTTAGTGTTATATTCCTATCTGAAATGCATATATTCATGTTTCTGCATGAATACTCCATTCCGAGAGAGTGGTGAAGCAGATTGTTTTATATGTTCCAAATTCATACGAACCATTGGGAAATATGTAATGGAGGATGGCAAAAAGCATTCGCATCCAGAATGAATAATGCGGAAGGGTCAAGGGTCAGGGAATGATCATGCAAGAGTCATTTATACAAAGTCTTCAAAAGAATTGACGACAATGGTACACGAGAAAAACAGCCACTTTCTTTGCTGGTGCCCATATACCACGCAGAACATGGAATTTTATTATTCTGAAATATATGCAATGATTCGAATAAACGAATTCAGATAGTACCTAGGTATCATTTCTCCTAATTCAGAATTGTGCTCGAATAAAAACGAATAAAGTCCAGTTTTGAATCTTCGGACTTCATCAGTGCAGGGTAGTCACCATACAAAGAGAATTTGAATTATTCAATTCAAATGTCCAACAGTTTATATGCATATAATAGGTATTCCGTATTTCTCAGACTTCAAAATTGTCAATTTGGGCGTATAAAGTAAGCGAAATGGATTTCTCCTTTCACCATGAGAATATAATTTTCAAGAAACCTTGAACAAACATTAATTGAGACCGACACAGCAAACAGGCCGACGCTTGACAGGCCAGAAAAGAGGTTCAAAAGTGTCGGATTTGACAATAACACATTATCAAAATATTTCGAAAAATTCCAAATCCAAACCAAATACTTTTTGTATTGAATTTGTAACTATCTTCAATAGGAAGAAGTATGAACCACTGTGACCTTACAACATACACCTACTTATTTGTTGTAAACTTCAAAACTGCAATACTGAATTTGAAGAATGTATTTCGGATTTTGAGTGAACGAAAATCAAAAACTCATCATATGACGAATAAATAATTGGAATGAAATGTCATTACATTTTCCATCAGATTTTTTCTAATATTGAGTAGATTTAAGTTCATCATTTTTATTTCGAGACCAAGATCAAGACTCTGAGAGATAGTCTTGTCTTGGTCTTGGGAACATTTAATTAGTCTTGGTCTTGATCTTGGTCTCGCGAAGCCCTAAATACCACTACCAGTTTGTCCTACTTGGAGTAAAACTCATGAAACACGACATTTCAGGTTTATTCGATTTTGAGTTCATGTAAAGATGTTATATATCACCAAGCTGCGTTCGGAAATCAAATTTCATTCCAGAAAAAACAGCTGTCAATAGTTCAAGGGAGCATGTTCTCTGATAGTGGCGATCGAGGTAGATGGTAAACACATTACTTTCTTTAGACTCTTGTAAACATTTTAGACTCTCAACCTACTTGATCATTGTTTACTTTGCTTGAGCTACATTTTGCCTTCGTAGACAAAATCTTTAACATGTACATACATATATAAAATTTAATTCAACTGCGTTAGAGGTACAACGAACTCGAAAATATCTTTCAAATAACAGAATAAGTAGACTTTCATTATTGAATAAAAACCATATTGATTATAAATCCATATTGCTCAAAGTTGTCCAATTGATACTTGAAAGAAAAAACAATAAGAGGCACAAAGTTGCTCCATAGCAAATTTAATGAAAGAGGGTTGTTACTAGTTTCGGCCATCATCAGAAACAAAATATGGTTAGAATAATGTAGTACCTAAAAGAGATGTCTGACAATATGTTGAGGAGCAAGAATGAGTCAAAATTATACTAACCTCAGCATGTATTGCTATTGGGAAATTGAGTTACATAAAGCGTTATTTCAAATTCGAAAATATATATCTGCGTTGCTGTTGAACAAGTGTTTGAATCTGGAGAAGGTCCAGTAAAACCAGACTATCATCTCATTATTATCAGAATACATACGGTATTGTAATTTAAAATTATGTCACGTGAGACTCATCAGAAAAGGTTATAATGCAAATGGAGGCAAAAAGGAATTTAAATTCCACTTGTAACAGTAGGAATCAGATAATGCCAACGTCAATGACATATGACATATAATTGAAATTGAGTAATGACAAAGAACTATGCAACGACCTGTGACACAAGTCGATGACACATGGAAAATAAATAGTAAAATTATTGATGAGGAACCTTAGATCATGGAGCAAGGAAACCATTCTAGAATTAAAAATCAAGTATCAAGAATCACAAATTATTACAATGAGAGGTACAGATTGGAAGAAGAAACCTATAATGAGAGAAAAAATAGATATTTGTTATAATATTGTTCAAAACTCATCATTGACATTTCAGAGTACAAAAAATTTAACTACTTTTGAAATTTGTCTGGTCATTTACATAGGTACAATTATGAGGATTATTTATACATTTCTGAATTTCTGAAATTTTTAATAGATTCAACCTAGAGCCTTCATTACGAATGTGGAGGAAATAAATACATAAGTTGAATTATTGAACTATTCATCCTCGATTTCATCATCAACATTTTTGACGTGACCAACAATGTAGTGATGATTTCATTATACTCTTTTGAGTTTCCATCAACATCATTTTGATATCATCAGTTAATAGCTCTCTAGCTCAGTGACGTTAGTGGTCGACGGAGTTTCATCTGACTCTCTCATCATGAATGCTAGTGTTCCGCAAGAATCAATTCTAGCACCAACACTATTTCTACTCCATATCAACGATTTGTTGGAAGCAACTTCATGTCCAGTACACAGCTTCGCGGATGATAGTACCCTTCATACCGATCTCACTGTGGCCAACATAAGCTTGTCGGGAGTAATCATACCTTTGAAGACATCCATTTCGATCCTTGGTATTACTATCAGCAATAACCTTCTTGGGAGAATCACGTGAGATCAATTGCTGAAAGTGCATCGCAGAAACTTGGTTTTCTGTTTCGAGCCAGGAGCTATTTCACTTTCAGTCAGCTGCTTATGATCTATAAGGCACAGATCCGACCTGTCCTGGAATATTGTTCCCAAATTTGCAGTGCAGCACCCAAATCAACATACCCTGAAACTGTTGGATTCTGTCCAAAAAAGGGCAATTCGTCTCGTGGGTGATGACTCGCACACAAAATCACTAACTTCTCTGGAACACTGTTGAAAAGTTGGTGTTCTGGCTCTATTTTATAGATATTTTCATGGACGATGCTCTTCTGAAATATCAACAAGTGTTCCTTCCTTGGCAGTCCCCGCGAGATTAACCCATCGAGTTGTGTCTTCGCACCCCTTCGTCGTCACTCTTGAGACCTGCAGAACATCCTTTTTCAAAGACTTGTTCATCCAACAAACAGCGAGGCTCTGGAACACATTGCCAAGGAAGGTGTTCCACGTGGCTTATAACCTCCAGAAATTCAAGAAGATCACCAATTCCTACATTATTTCCCTTGGTTCTCACGATGTTCTCTGAACATTACAGGATATCCCTCTTCGTGGGAACCAGGACATGAAGCGATATCATCTTGGTAATCTTATATATACATCATTTGTTTGTATTTTTAGCTATTAGCTCTCATAACGGACAGTGCAATAACTAATTGTCGTTTGCACTACATCTTAGTGAATTTCTAGCACCATGCATACTTCCGTTAATATCCGTTGTTGTTTTGAAAATTAAATGTCGAATGGATTTGAAACAAAAATATTTAAAACAATCTTCATCACCTGGAAATATGAATTGTTAAAAATAAATACTGAAACTCAAATTATAACTGCTAATAAACATAAAGAAACATTATTCTGGCATTTTCCTTAGCCCTAGTTCCTTGTATATTTTGGAAAAACTTGTGCCTCATGATATGTTTGATCCCTTGATTTTCCAATCCACGGTGTCCATCCCCTTCTAGAATATTCACAGAACTCTGAATGAGGAATAGTAGATTGTTTTATTACACTTTGTTTGACAAGCGAATTTTGCATTTGCGAGGCGGAGCGTTTAGCGAAGCCGAGCGAAAGCAAAATTTGCGAGTCGAACAAAGTCACTTTTGATCCGAATGAAACATGCTATTTTTTCTGCAACCGAAACAATTAACTCAAATAAACATGTGGAGTAATCATCAATGTCGTGCCATATGTAGGTATGCAATACAACAAATATTGACAAATAATCCATCTGGTGAGAATATTCTACCTGCATTAACAGCAGGTTAGGTTATAGGTTTCCTAGGATGTTCGAATTGTAGTTTCAATTTGAAAATACAACCACAGAGTGAAATATTTTTGTGTGGACCAGGTGCTCTAATGGCAAATACCGCGCCAGTGCCAGCTATATAGGAACAAGACGTGGAAAATGTTAGGTTAGTGAGCATATCAACAATGATAATAGTGATTATTTTTATTCCTCTCCATACTATACTGTGTTTGACTTGATAATCAAATGAAGCTGAACAATATCGTTGTTTGAGACAAAAAAACTATTGCTTGCCGTCATTATTCAAAAACAAGTTATCCATCCCGAGAATAACGAATGAAATACAGATCAAGCAAGTGTTTGAATCTTGAAATCTTCCCTGATCAAAACAAAAATACTTGAGATGTTTATGATTCCAAAAGTAAACGATAATAAGGTGTATTTATTTATATCTCCAGCATGGGTATGAAATGCCAAATCTGCTGGAATCGGAAACAAATCAGGTATGCGTCTCAACCCAAATAACCAACCGTCACAATGTTGTTCATTCTTGATGACCTCCAGTACATCCTTTTTAGTTCCTAGGAGCTAAAGTTCAACTTTAGCTCCTAGGAACTGATATTCAACTTTAGCTCCTAGGAACTAAATATGTTGCCTAGCAACATACCAATTTTTGTGTCAGTAATAGAAACGTCAATTTGAGAGCTAATTTTGGTATCAAAATGGACGACTTTTGTGTCGGTTGCAGAAAAAAAATGTTTCATCGAATTGTACGAGAAACACTATTCTGCCAACATTATTCTCCTCTTCAAATAATATCAATATACCCTGAAAAGGAACTCATCTTCTCTGTCACAACAGTTGTCTTCTCTGATATTTAGTGTCAACATATTTCTTTGATGCAGAAATATTTATTGTTTATATTTCGACTGTATGAGTTAGACTTCCATGATTCATACACCCACATAATTTGATTGGTTGATTGATGTTTTATGAAGGAAAAAACGTGTAGGTACGACAATGTGAATTCATAGTAGTCCTGTTAATGGATGAGGAATTTTCTGATTCTAATAGTATGGATAGCTACACGAAATGTAAAAATTTTGATTAGATTTGATTATATGGTTTGAGAAAAAAGATGAACTTACTTGCGTATACGTCATCCAGCAACAAGGTTCCACCTGATTTGCATCAAGGCCCCAAAATTCTAGTTCCTCTTCAAATAGTGGTCCACAAACATCTGATGGATAATGTAATTTGCCAGTCCTGAAAGAAAACATCTAATATCGAACCCTTTAGCACCAAGCTTACTCCATCGGTATGTAAAATATATTCCTCACAAAATATTGAGATATATTGACTGGGATTACTTTTTCAATAGTTGGTCTGTAGCATCTTGGATATTTCTCTTGAACACTGTTATTGTGAATCTACTTTGTATCATGTAATACGGTGATACGATGGACTCCACAAGGAATCTATGGAAGCATCTGGGGAAATTCACCAGCAAACTAGCTAAATTGCTTGGAGAGAATAAAGCTCTAGAAGGAGGTAGCTTTCGAAAGTATGCTTAGTGTGATCATTGGTCATTTCGTTCGACATTTCATCTATCGCTAGTGAGTAACGAAATAATGTCAAAGCCTTGAATAATGATTCATGATTCGAAAAATGATGGAACTTTCCAATCAACCCCAGTTTGATATAAAGAAAATAGCAAATTCCCTACAGAAAAAGCATTTTTCAAATGTCTGGTTTCAAGTTGTATCTTCAATTTTCACGGAAGTGAGATTTCGACGTTTTAGTAATAATCAACATCATTAGCTCCTCATTTCTGGAAGCCAATATTCCTTGCACCAATTGAAACATTTCATTTCACTATTTCGTATGGACGTATCAACATTGATGAAAACTTAAAAGAAAGCAAACTGTCGCGAGCAACCCGAATCCACAGAGACTTGTCTCATAAATTGATGAAAATAAAGTAAACCAGAAGAAAATCATTCTACATCTCATTAGAAACTACATTTCCATTTCTCCATATGGATAGTTATTCTACATTGGAAGAGGTTTTTAGGTTGGCAACTTGAATTGAAGACTCTCATTGAGTTCATTCTTCGTTAAAGCGGTTTCCATTGGGCGTGAATTGGTAGATTATTTAGGCACTCAGTGTATATCTATCCTATTTGTTGACGTGTGGTAGAGAGAGAAATAAATACACTGAGTGCGCACTAGTTCAACCAATGGAATCCGCTATTTGTTCCATATAATCAATTTGAATTGAGTTATTTATTTTCGACTTGCATTTTTGATATAATGACTCCCAGCACGTTTTATGTATGTCTTGTGAAATCTAGTCTGAGTGAAAATAACACAGTGAAAAAAAAAAAATAACACCAGCTCACACCAGCTGATACCTTCGGGTGTCAAGTACTACACTATAGTACCTAGTGCTAATTTGATCGGTTCGTGTTATTCAACACCAAAGTGGTGTACTATACAATCATTCGATGATTATTTTGACACTGTATCTGTTGCGTTTTTGCTATTACTGATAATATTATGATATGCGAGTGTTATCACGCTGAGTAGCGGTGCTTAACTCGTCTGCATCTGAGTGATGAATAACACGACTCTGATATACTAACATTAGTATTCAGTGTGAAAAATGATCCATTTTTGTGAGTTGAGAGAGTACAAAACATCTCTGAGCTGATACTATTTGAAGGCTGTTGAGAGTCGAGCGTCGAAGGAGCGCTAGTGTCGCCATCTATCAAGATATTCACTCAATATTTTTCTGTGCGAAAAATTTATAATCTGATATTCAATTTTATGTTTCAATCTTGTTCGATATATGTACTCTATGAAGCTTTGCGATCTCAAAATCATCATATATAATCGATGAATCAACTTAAAATTTATTCAATGCATTATTCTCACGAAATAATGCCTTCTTATTGTCACATATCAATCGAAATACCAGAATTCGTGGATGATGATATTCCTACAAAATTTTTATCCATTCTTCAATAAGTTTGGGTTTTTCAGAGGGTGAAATCAACAACAGCAATATTATTTATTCACATGGGAGAATGCAAGACGACGAGTGAATTATTTTAGCCCCAAATCTGATGAGGTATTTCTGAAATCCACCTGATTGAAATTACACCCGAGAATTTTTCACTGTGTATGTTGTTACAATCAGGCGCAGGAGTACATGATGACTTTGGCACACTCACCTATAATAATTCAGCACCTGCGCGAATACCCCAGGATGCCTGTCGAAGAAGTACTCGTTGAGTATAGGATCGTAGTTGGCCAAGGCCTCGGTGAGTCTGGACAGCCTGGTGGCTGGAATCTTCTTCAAGGTAGCTTTGTACGTCTCGTGACGGATGCCGCCGACATTCAGAACGACGCGGTTTTCCGCGTCCATATTGCCGACGTTCATTTCTGGAACAGAAAATAAAGAATTGTCATTATTCGAGTCGAGATATGGACCGGGATTGACGCAGTGGAAGAGCGTCCGTCTCACGACCGCGAGGTCGTGGGTTCAATTCCCAGCACGAGCAAGGAACTTTTTTCAATATTTCATTCATGAATTGAATATTGTAAAGTTTCGGAGCATCGGCTGGGAATAGACCTGCACGATTCGCTGTTACGTTCCAATTAATAACAGTGCTGCCCCAGCAAACGTTGAACTAGCGGGAGAAGTCCGGCCTAGTGCAGGCTAGTCTGGGAAAGTGACGATGCCGGGGTATTGGTAATGGGCCGATGATTTTTCTATGCCAAGTAATCATCAGTTAAAAATACGATGATGGCCTTGTGATGGTAAGATGTCTGGAACTAATTGAATACTAACGAGATTTGGCCCATTGCTGGCCAATTTCATGTTCGCTACTCGTCCTCCTGGTGGATGTTCTGGGAACTCCTATATCAACAATCAGTTGATCAATATTATATGTGACTAAGATGGCTGACTCTCGTGAGTGGTGATCGCGTACTAGTTTGTTTATGTCGAATTAATGTGGTGCTCTATTTCCCTGGTGGTTATTTATGATGTCAGGAGTATTCTCAATTGATAATTATAGAAGACAGATTCTTCAATTATGATAATATTGAGTGAGTATCAATCTACCTACATAGTGTTTCGAATTTCATTATTAAATGCATGTGCTTGGTATCTCGTAACCTTATATACCCAATGATCATAATAATTGGAGTTGGCTATACTTCTCCAAAAGCAACTATCATTTTTAACTCGTTTATTGCTATGAAAAGCAATCTCAGGTTATGTGAACCTATCTCTATAATAAAGAACTGAATAACAATGAGGTTTCAGCTTCAGAAATACTTGTGCAAAGAAAATAATGAGAATTGAAAAGCTCCATGTTATCACGTCATCAGACTATATTATAAAGTCATGCAACTCATAGGCCACTAATATAACTGCTGATGCATTTTATATTTCAGAAGTACCCCACAACAAAAAATCAACTTTGAAGGAATGCTACCCAATAAGATGTAGATACCACATACCAACAAGTAAGCAGTCACTCCGAGAAGTTTCATCGTTGAAGTTGAAGAACAGAGAGGTTAAGAACATATCATTGTGTCATTCATAAAATTGTTTTCTTGAAATCTGGTATGTGTCTGATTTATGGTGAGAGGGTTATATTGTGGAATAAAGAGGTGCTAGAACTCTCAGATCCATTGGACCCCTAAAACCCCTACCCCTCCCCTACCTCGATAGTATGTAATCAATGTCGTTAATTGGCCATTACAGTCCCATCATTTATGTATATGCTGGGCTTGCTATGGGAAACTCAATGTGTCGATTATGTTGTACTGGCCTTTTGCCGGGGAACTGAATATGATTGCTGGGTACCAAGCACTGGGACCAGCTGCCGGCCGCAGTGTACTGATATATAGAGTCCCGCATATGGGACTATTTACTAGTCCGCTGATGTCAGGTATGGGAAAAATATATTAGGCCATTGATGCCCCATATCAAAATGTTTGCTGGGGCTCCTGAAGTGGCGCATGGAGTTAGTAACAAAGCCTACACAGAACACGCAGAAAGAGATGATGATGTAGTTGTGAGCATTAGAGAAGAAGTAGGACGGTGTATGTAGGTGGGTGTGGAAAACTACCAGCTGAACGTGAAAGCGGGCCAGCTGCTTAGTGGACCTCGGTCTCTATCGGCCAATGCAGCATATGGTAGTGAGTACATTACCAGCCTACAAAGCACAGCCGAAAAAAATCTGAAAGAGAGCTGATGAGCGGTGCCTGAAAAGGATGTTAGCCAGCTCTGTTAAGCGAACAACATCACTCATTAAAAACACCTTGTGGCTCGCAAAAAGATCCCATTAGGGACTAGTTGCTGACGTGCAAACGTCCCCCATCAGTACCAGTGAGTCGAAATACAGCAACTATTCAAAAGTGTTAGTCATTACTAGAAATCAGTTATTTTCCTAACTAGTGTGAAAAGTGATATTTTCCCGCAAGCCACTGCCATTGAGCCGAATGACGCGAAGCGGAGCTCGGGCAAGCAGTCTAGTGCGGGAAAGACATTTTCCGCATGAATTCGGAACAATATTCTTTCTCCAAGCGTAGTTAATCAATTGATTTGTTCATTTTTTTTTTCATGCGAATAGAAACCACTAAAAAGTGTAATATATTCTCTATGTACTGATTATTAGTAATATATATCTATTATGGATATATACAGTTTGAAGCATTATGTTTAGTTTCATGTCTATTTATAATCACATAAATTATAGTAAATCAGGGTGTATACGAGGCACGGTCAAAAAGTTATTTTTTCGGAAAAAAATTCTAGCACTTTTTCAAAATCAAGTTATATTCTGGTGAGACATTTTTGTCGAAATTGCACCAAATTTCGCGATTTGATACCGAGATGAGAAATATGCCAACCCATACCAATTGATTATTAGTAGATCTCAAAAACTTGCTTGTGCCACCAGCGATGAAGTGCAAATTACCGCACAGGAAAGTGCAATCATTTCGCTCAGGATAGTCATTGGCACAAGTGCCGTTCGATGCGATACATGCCCTTGGAACATATACTGGGTGTTTCACAGGTAAAGGGAAATATCTCAATGGTACATAGGGGTCACCAAGGTGGTTCTGAAAATACGATATTTGATAGATCTCAGAATCTTCATAACGGAGATACAGGGCGATTTATCGATTTCGAATGATTATTCATTCGTTTATAAGTATCGAATTACCCAGTATATTCTCCTCCAATTTGGTATGGAGCTCGAAATAACTTACTACTAAGTATCACAGTCTTTATAACGGAGATACAGGGTGAATTATCAGTTTCGAATAATTATTCACACGTCCATAAGTATTGAACTACCCAGTAATATTTTCTCAAAATTTGGTATGGACCTTACTTGGGAAGTTGGATTCATTGACCTATCAGGCGAAATGGAAATACAGGTTCAGGAAGAGTCTCACAGTATTGATAACGGAGATACAGGGTGAATTATCGAATTATAATTATTTGATATCTTCTAGTTGAATCATCGCTAGAAGTATCAAATCCAATTCAGTTTTTTCCTGATAGGTCAATGAATCTAACGTCCTAAGTAGTAAGCTCCATACCAAATTTGAGAAAATATTACTGGGTAGTTCAATACTTATGGACGAGTGAATAATTATTCGAAACCGATAATTCACCCTGTATCTCTGTTATAAAGACAGTGAGACTTACTGAGTTCTTTCGAACGATCATTTGTCAAATAATCATAATTAAAACAGGTTTTATAATTTTAATACTTTTCAAATTGACATACTTTAAACTTTCTGTTTATGATTGTTACGATGCGAATTGGTGGCGGGAAAACAAATAGCATCAAATTCAATTCAGTTTTTCCTCCTCTTCACGATTCCATCGATGAACTCTGTTAGTTATTACATACCGTGTGCTATTTCAATATTTCGAATAAATGTAAATTTTTCCTGAAGCCGAACCTGGATTTTCGCTCTGCCGATAGGTGAATAAATTCAAAGTCCCAAGTTTAAGCTCCATACCAAACTTGAGGAAAATATACCGGGTAGTTCAATACTTCTGGACGAATGAATAATTATTCGAAATCGATAAATCGCCCTGTATCTCCGTTATGAAGACTCTAAGACCTATCAAATATGGTATTTTCAGGATCACCTTCGTGACCCCTATGTACCACTGAAATATTTCCCTTTACCTGTGAAACACCCTGTATCATTTCATTATCAGATGAGGTCGAAATTTGCAGCCCCTGCTCTTGGACTAATATGGTCGGAGGACTCGGTGGTTTTTAATGATTTGCCACTGAAAGGATAGGTATAATATAGAAAACAAATCACTCGAACCATTATCACAAATATAACAATAATTTCCAGATTCCCTATTGTCTCCTAAACAACAGACTCAATTTACTAAATTTTATTCTTTGTTTTATGTGTTTACCAACTCGAATAACTGTCGATTTTGTATTGGATGGTATTTTATTGGGTCTCACTATTTTATTATCCCATTTATTGTCTTCAGAAAATGCGTTTATTCTATCTTGGTAGATATATTATCTTGTTGCGTGGAAAAGGGACGTATATTTTCGTTTTCAATCGCGTTTATAGAAACCGATAAATGTTTATTGGAGAATGTTCTAGCTGGACACTAACAGTGCGATATGTCTAATCTAGAGATCATTCGTGAAATAGAATCCCTATCTTGAACTCCGATTCGGCAAATTACGATATATATATTATTATATAAATATATATAATTTATGATATTATGACTGTCATTCATAACATTTTGTGGAATCTTGCGCTCAACTACGAGCAATATATGCACTATACAGGGTGAAGAATGTCAAGACATGCATGGTCTTGTCTCGTTTTCGAGACAAGACTCGAGACGAGACTTGGGCAAGACAAGACGAGACTTTTATTGGTCTCGTCTCGAGTCTCGTGCAAGATTTCTCGTGTTTCGTGCGAGAGTCTCGCAGGTGAATATTTCTGCGTGCCTACTGCAGAGTTGAAAATTTCATTCATATATAATACAACATATTTAGTAAGAATTCAGACTATTTAGCACAGACAGACAAAACATTTCATTCATAAATACTTCAAAAACACAATCCATGATTGTTGTAAAACGACGTAATGCGTGAAACAAAAACACTACGATTCTCTCTCTCACGGCGGAATAATGTAGGATTAAAGATTTCGTTTTTTCATTTGTTTAGAATACACGTGTTACTTTTTATTTTATTTTTATTACTTTCTAATATATAATGCTGTGTTTTTTCTTCTTGCTCAGATGCATGATGTATAGGTATGTACCTATTATGTACTTTCTGTTCAATAAATAATGGTATTTTTGTTGTAATTTCCTCTTCCTACTTCCACATTATACCTAAAAAGCGGGTATATGAAG